CAATTCAAGAATATCTATTTATACCTATAAGAAAAAGTTTAAAAGTACTGAAACTATTTTTCCTCAAATTTAAACTACCTAAAGACAGTAGGGCTAGCAGATGTAAATTAGAAGACATGCTAGTGCCCTAACATGACTGACAGTGCCAAGCTTTGAGGGGCCTGACGGCTTGATTGAGAGCACACAGTGTCACGCGGTGCACCTGTGTGGAGAGACAGGCCCCAGTGAGACCCAGCAGTCTGTAAAAACTCTGTTTTTACAGATCTAGCTTTTCCCTCATCTTTCTGTTTCCCACCTGATCCTGGGACCAGGCCCGGTTCCCCCTCGTGAGCTAAGAACCAGTCGCTGTTCAGTAACTCAAACACCGCAAGGTCCTCTCTTCACCACGTCTGTACTTGTTTCCCTGACCAGGAACACTATACATGGCTGGCTCCTTCTGGTCATTCAGGGCTCACACTAAATAGTATGGCCCTCATAGGCCTCTTCTGACCATTCAATATGAAACCTAAAACAGGCCCTAGCCTGGCGCCACCATATTTTCTTGTTTTACTTACTTTCACAGTTTTCTCGTACGCAAGCTGTCTACCTTCTCCTCACTATAATGAAAGTAGCAAGAGAGAAAGGACTCTTTGGTCCTATTTATGACTAAATCTCCAGCACTCAGAATAGGACTTAACACAAAGAGGACATGTGAATGAAAGTAATCCCCCAGCTCTAATGCAGTCCAAAATTAATTTTTAATCCTGATATATGAGTGAAATTAACTCCAAGAAAACATTAAATGGCTCAAATGGAATCCAAGTTTCTAAAGTGCCTTCTCTCTTGATCCATGTTATAGCTTATGTCTAGATGTCCCCACAAAAGGTTTATGCCCTCATAGGTAGGGCTTTTGGGGAAGTGACTGGACCAAGGACATGTGATACTGAATTATGATGTGAAAACTGGATTAGCCCGCTGATTGGTTGAGCACAGTCCCGGCTCACCTTGGGTATGGGTGGCATCAACGACTAGATTTACAGCCTGAATGCAGCAAAAAGAGAAAGGAAGACTAGCTGTTTTGCTACTTCCCACCTGCCATGCTGTGGAATCAATCAATCATAGACTAACATCTCTACAAACTGTGAGCTAAAATAAACATTTCTTCCTTTAACTTGTGTCTGGCACTTTGTCTCAATAACAAGAAAGTAGAACAACTCAACTTTGTCTTTAGGATTCCCCTTACTGTCCACTATTCCAACTACTGCTTTATATTCTAAAAGTTCATCTATTTGCAAAATTGAAAGTATCAATTTCTTAGAGATGAATTAACCTTTACTTCCAAACCAACTCCACTGCACCACAGTCCTAAAGAATAAGCTCACCATCTCCTTCTTCCCTGTCTGACAATGGTATCAGCTGTCACACTCAGTTTCTCAACCAGCTGTCATTATTCATTCTTCTTTTATTCCCCATATTCCATAAAGTACTTGGCCTTGTTGTTTCTTTCAAAATATTTCTTGTATCCGGCACCATCTCTCCATTTTTACTCTTACTAAACCATCTAGAACACTATACGGAAAGAATATTACTGTATTTGTCTCTGTTTTAATCATTACTAATAGAATCTTTATTGCAATTTTTAAATATTCATCTAGCAATAATCAATACTTTCCTGAAGACTACAAAAAATAGTTAACCTAGCTTCTAATACAAACTTTATACTCATGAAATGAGAGCTGACAGAAAAAGAAACAAAGATGTCCTATTGTTGAGCTACTAGTCACCAAAGTTTCAAATCCGCCCTACATGCTTCATTGTGAACATTTCACCAAAGTAACTCACTGGAGCAAGTTTCATTATATTCACAATGCTACCTGTACCTGTGGAAACTATTTTTAAACTATTGAAACTTACTCAGGGCAGAATTTTATTCAAAAGACTGATTAAAGTATTTGGAATCTAGCTTAGTTTTTCAAATCTACAGATAAATGTTCTCAGAACTCAAGTTTTTCCTTTTTTAACAGAAGTTTTCTCCACCCAATTCATGATACACTTCTCACTGATAACAGCTGTCAAATGTGAACAGAAAAGCTTTGATGTAATTTTTCTGTTCTTTTAATCACTGCTTTTTTCTTTTGGTGCACAGAGCTGGTATCTTTTCAATGTACTACCAGTAACTGCTATTTCATCAAAAAAAAGTACAAATTCCTGTGACTTAACTTATTTATTAAGCGTGCAATATACTGTCACTCACCTTTTCAAAAAGGGTTAACAAACTTCCCCATTACTACTGCTGAATACTACTTCATGAAACCTGAAGTTAACTGAAACACATAATCATAGATGAAATACTTATGGAAGAACTAGTCCTCAAAGTTCAGGTTTTTTTCCCTAACAGAACAAAACTTTTTTAAACTTAAGGTTTATAATAGTTTCGACAAATAAATCCAGAAAACACAGGCTCAAATCACAGCTATACTGCCAATGAGCTATGTTACTTTATTACAAAATACACAGACCTCATCCTCTTGTCTTTAAGATAAATCTGAGTTTATAATTTTCAAAACTCTGATGACAGGATGAGAAGACTTTCTGATCTTAAGGCCATTACCTTCTCCTTCCTAATTAGCTCTCACACCACCATCACTTTTTGCACAATTCTGGATTTTAGAAGTCTGAAATGACATTCTACACTGAAATCAAGTTTATCCATGGGCTATGTTCCCTTGATCTTTGGGGAGAGAAAAGTGTTCATGTGCTTTTTCCAGTCTCTAGGGGCTACAAACCCTGGCGCAGGGCTCCTTCTTCTACTCTCAAAGCCAGCAGTGTGACACCTTCAAACCTGATGTTGACCCCTGACTCTCTTCATACCTTCTTCTCCTTGTAAGAACCCTGGTAACGACAACAGTCACCTAAATAATTCAGGATAAACTAGCCCCAGAGTCTTCTCACTGAGCTATATTCCCAGCCTTTTTTATTTTTTCACACAGGGTCTCTAAGTTGTTAAATTGCCCAGGCTGAGCTCAAACTTAGTCTCATGCCTCAGCCCTCCAGAATGCTGGGATTACAGACAGATGCCCCACAACTGGCTGAACTGTACATTTTAAAGGGATGACTAAAAATTATGATGTTTAATTTTTTTAAAAAAATATTTTGATACACATTGCCATTAATTCCCTTCAAAATACTCTTTCTCACTTCAAATATACTCTACTAACCCCATCACTCTCATCATTTTCTATAGCAGTTTTGAAAGTCTGTTTTTTCTGGCTGTCTTTGCAAGATAGGATCAAAATTACTACTGAATGACATCTAAGAGAAAGGCAGGTTGGTATAAACATAGTGTGTCTGTCCTCATCCACCTTATTTACTGCATCTGGTACCATGCAACATCTGGCTCTTCCCCAGTCAAAATGATCAAGGAAGGAAAACATTTTGGATTGATTCAGAACATCAAGGCAACCATAACTAAAGAAATTCAAAAGACAAGAATTTCAAAACTCTTGCAGAAACTGGCAAGAACAATGGGATAAGTGTGTTCAAAGTGAGATGGAGAATTTTGAAAGAAATTAATGCCAAAGTGTCTTCTACTGTAATTTTTAAAAAAATATTTTTTTTCTTTTGAGACAGAGTCTCACTATGCAGTTCAGGCTGGCTTTGAGCTCACTTTGTAGCCCAGGCTGGTTTCAAACTCGCAATGCTCCTCCTGCCTCAGCTTCCCAAGTACTGGGAATAAGGCATGTGCCATCATGCTTGGCTCTGTAATAAAAATTTTAAGATTTAGACGCACACTAGATTTTCATCAGACCTTGCATGAATTACATCTCAATAAAGCTGTTTTAGAAAAATCTAAGTTGCTGAATTCACATACAAGCCTACTAGTTAACACAAATCATTTCCAAGTAGTCAGGACAGCAAATGAGTAAACAAATTATTTTCTAAGCACACATTCTTTTTCCTCAATTACATTTAACAAAAAATCAACTGTGCTAAAGAATTCTACGTATGTCCCGTGTTGGGAAGGTAAATTATTAACACAGCATACTTAAAAATAAATACATATTATAAAATGAACAGTAGCTTGCCTGTTGTGGTCACAAAACAACATCTCTACTTTGTCCTCCTTCGGAACCGAGCATCAACTGTGGTAGGCTTATCTTCCATTATTTCCAACACAACACCAGCTGGGCAGTTTACAGTGCCCACGCTCTCACCACTGACGAATGCCAGGCTCGCTGCCTCACATCACCCCACTATCTGCCTTTGTTCTAAATCAACTGTCCGGAGCTTTCAACCAACTGAACAGTACTTACTCTTCAGAGCCTGGCTCCAGTCCTATCACAGAGAAACTTCACCCGCTCCACACCACAGCAACTCAACGTTCACCAGCCTCTCACACTCTAGCTGGCTCCTCAACAGCAGGCACTCTTCATCATCCGGATGTAGTCAACTCATTTTTTTTTTTTTTTCCTTCCAGGGATCAAACCCACACTTGCCAGGCAGATGCTTACACTACTGAGCTAAATCCCTGACCCCTCAAATCATTTTTTCAACAGCAAAATAAGCAGCCTTGTTCATTTATCCATTTCATCTTACTGTCCCCTCTTTTCAAGAGACAGGCCAGCTTTTACCCAAAGTCCTCAGATAAACAGCACTCTTGCAAATGAAAGAGTGCCACCTAGTTGAACACCGAGTAACTCACAATGGTAGAAGGAAGACCTGTGTTCTACTAAAAGAAAGAAGCCACAGAATCATTTGCACAGCAACTTGTCTCATCTGTGCACCCTGTTGCCTTGACTAGATTAGCTTGCAAGACTTACAGGTATTATTTGTTCTCAGCTCCATGCATATGTTAGTCATTTAACATTACTTAAATTGAAATCAATTCCTGAAGTATATTACCAGTGGATTACATCATTAATAGTGTAATACATTTTTAAATCATCTTTATCACATGACAGTGTGAGTTCATTATAATGATAGATATGGACAAAATAAAGGAAATTGTGTTATTTACTCACATATAATGGAGCTTGTTGTGGATTAAGTTTCATGACCCAGGACACTGAAACAGAAATGAAAAAAAATGAGAATAAAATTAAAAGTTGTTACCAAGATACAAAAAACCACCTAAACTTCTTGAATATTAAGCATAGTTCTGTGAACATTATCTCAAGTCTACACTGCTGTATATCAAGTTTTCTATAGAGATCTGGGAAGTAAGGAAGCTTACAAATTGCAAAATTTCTTTGTAGTTCAGACTCAACCATTTCAAATGGAAAGAAAGATTTTGACTGAAAAATAGACAAGCCAGGTATGGTGGCACATCCTAGCACTTGGGAGGCTGAAGCAGGAGGATTGCCATGGATTTGAGGCCAGTCTGAACTGCAGAGGGATACCTCGTCTCAAAAAAATCCAAAGGGAGAAAAAAGACAAAGGGCTTTACTGTCACATAAAAAGTTTAACCAACCACCAACAGTGTGTTTAAAGCAGGTACTAGCACAGCACCCACCAGTAGGTTCAGTTGCACTTTTATATAATCCCTAAATTCACAAAATGCTGCTTACCCACAGACTTTCCTCCACCTCCACTAGGAGATCATGGGAAGGGTTCTGAAACAAGCCTTCTTGCTCACACTGTCCCCAACTGAGAGAAGGGAAGCTACCGCTAACCTCTGACACTACAAACCCATTACCATTACCCTCCTCAGAGGTAACAGCTAGATTACCCATTTCTGTCACTAAATAAATTCTTGTAAAACTCTCACCAGCAACTTTAGAGAAGATTTCCAGGATTATATAATACATTCCTGAATGTTAAAAATAGCATGTTTTTAAAGTTTGACTTGGTAATTTCACTACGATCTCAGAATCCCAGGTCCTTTGCCACACACCCTGCATTTGAATGTAAACTGATCTCATCCTCACTAGAATCAGACATAGACCCAAATGCCTTCATTTTTTTTCCTCTAAGGAACTTTCTTATTCATTCATAATAAGTAAATTAAGGCACAAACTAACTAGTAATATAAGAACAGTAGAGAAATGTCATTCACACAAGAAAAACCTAGTGAAATTCTCCATCTTGTGTTGTACTGTATCACAAAAACCTCACTAACGGTGAGCTGAAATTCTAGCAGCATAAACTGAAAGTTATCAATGACCAAATGCTTAAAATAAAGAATAGTGACTTGGTGTTCATGCATCATTTAAATTACACAGAGTCCTCACAATATTAAAATTCTCACAGAGCCAGGCACAGTGGTGCACGTCTGTAATCCCAGCACTCGGGAGGCTGAGACAGGAGGATAGTTGAGAGTTTGAGGCCAGCCTGGGTTACAAAGTGAGCACAAGGCCAACCTGGACTGCAGTAAGCCTCTGTCTCAAAAACTTGACCACAGATTGGCCACAGATCAAGCTGTATTATGTCTGAGATCAAGGCTGATACAATCAGCCTAATCAAGAGCAATTAACATATCGGGCCCCCATAGGCCTTGTGTCTTCTGCAGGCAGGTGGGAACACCTCAGCACCCATTCTCTAGTCAACTTCCCATAAAGTAACAGTCCCTACCAGCCTCAGGTTAATGACTATATACTTCAAAGTGTTAAAAGCCATCTAGGGGCCGGGGATTTAGCTCAGGGGCATAAGCGCCTGTCTTGCAAGCCCGTGGTCGTGAGTTCAATCCCTGGTACCGATTTTAAAAAAGGAAGAACTAAAAGCCATCTGGAAAAAAAAAAATGTACATTGAAAACCAAGCACAAGAAATTTAGCAATAACCAGCTTTTTTAGTAAAAAAATGTCCATCCCATCAGATGCAAATAGCAACCATAGATTATAAAAAAGATTAATGGCTTCAATACTTTCTCAATGTATTAAATATCCCTGTAATTTAAAATTAACTCCTTTTAATCACCTTTCCAGATCTTGTTTAGACTTCCCTGGAACAAGGGACTGGAGGAATCTGTAAGTTTATGAACTATTCCACTGTGCCTTGACTAGCTTAAGAAGTGCTTCTGCCATCAAATACAGAAGAAATATCAGTGGAACTGACATAGAAATTAACACCTTGGTAATTCATAAAGATTGGTGAAACCTAATGGCAATGAATTATTGACTTTCCAGTCCTCTTACATTTCATGATTTGCCAAGAAAAAGAGGACAACTGTGTAAGGATCACAGTATCAACCACACTGAATGGCTCCCATTGAATCTGGATAATTTGTTGTCTTGGTTACTTTTTCGTCATTGTTGAGTTAAAAATACCTGATGCCCAAAATTAGGGAAGAGAAGGTTTATTTAGCTTACAGTTTTTTGGAGACTTCAGTCCCTATTTAGTTGGCTTCAAAGCAGGGTGGTGTGGCAGAGGGGCAACCATTCATGGTGAGCACAGACAACAAAAGCAAACAGGGCAAAAGACGGAAAGCACGCCTCCTCCTTGCCCTTAACCTTCTATGTCAGCTCCTCACCCCTGGGCAGGTGCAGCACTCACACCACCAATCCCAGCGCTAGACAATGAACCAGTCACAAACACTAGATTCAGCCATATCCATGACTATATGAGGCTTGGGGGAATCATCTGAACACAAACCATAACAAAAGTGGTGAAACTCAGATGGTTAGAAAATAAAGCTGATGACATCTGGATTGTCTGGAATTACGAACTCGTAAACCTATTTAAAAGTCAGAACCCATACTAACCGCTTTGATACAAGGATTGAGCGGGGATAAAGTGTCAAAGGGTCAAAGGGTCAGGTGATTGTTACGCTAGCAACAGAGCCTATCAAAAAGAATGAATTTGTGAAAACTAATCAAAGTAATGACCAGAAGGCTCTAAAAATGGATGGGTAAATTCAGACTTCTTCAATGCTAATAAAGAAGAGAACCAGCCTTCATAAAAGTTTGTATTTCATATTGTATTTATTCTCCATAAAAAATACTATTGGCTTCCATTTCACTAATGTAGAATAAAAGTCTCTCAAAGATTATTTAAACAGACGTAGTGCATACACTTGCAATTCCAGTACTGGAGAGGCTGAGGCAGGAGGTTTGTTCCAAGTTCAAGACTGGCCTGGGTTACTTAGTAAATTCAAAGCCAGCCTGCACTACAAAGTAAGACTCTGTCATGTGTAAAAAAAAATTTTAAAATTTTTGCAAAAGAGCTTATTTAACACCAAGGACAAAGTAAGCAGGAAAGTCAAAATTCAAACCCTGTCTGACATCTGTACTTTTCCATCACTAAGTGAAAATCTTTATTTTGTCAACAGATTTTTGATGAAGCATTCCCAAAAGGAATATTAATTAAATACATTTTCTATCCAATGATTTCAAAGAAAAATACTGAGACAAAACTTTCATGATTTCTTCCTTACCCCACAGCCAATGCATGAATGAGGTAGCTCAATTCACAAGACAACAAAGCTGATCTTGTGTAATAGCCAATGCACAAGAAATAGACTGTATAAGTCTGCTAACATTTGAGGTGTGTGCCAGGCATAGTGAATACATCCCTGTATCCCAGCACTCAGAAGGCTGAGGCAGGAGGACGGCCCCAAGTTTGAGGCCAGCCTAGGCTACATAGTGAGTTCAAGACCGGCCTGGACTATACATCAGGATCCTATCTTTAAAAAGAAAACACGAAAAAAAGGGGGATATAAAATAACAAGAAGTATGGTAATTCAGTTTTTACTCTTCCTGCATTTTCCACTCTACAACACTGAAACAAATTTCATAGTGGAGAAGAGGCTCATTTTCCCCTTTCGCTCTAGCTACTTTTGCTTGCTACTGCCTTAAAGTGTTGCCCCTGTGCCATGCTACTCTACCATGGAGCCACTGACGATGGACTGAAACCTCCAAAAACTGTAAACTAAATAAAACTTTCCTTCCCTTCTCTAATTTTTGGTGTCAGATGTTTTGCCTCAGCAATGAGAAAAAAGTAACCAAGACAAAGACCGAATTTTAATGCCACTCTCTCAAATATATAAATTAAACTTCCTCCCTACAGTATTTCAGAGAAGCAAAGAATTGTGGTCACAATTCTTCCTGCACTTTGATATAAACTACCAGCCTTTTTTTTGGTACGGTACTGACACCATCATCAGAATGTGCCAGAGTTGACTTTGCAAAGCTTACAATAGTACCAAGTTTTAGAATTTTTTAAATTCATGCTTCCTGCAAAAAATGAAAACTCAGATCACAATACAGAACCACACAAAAATGAATATAAAGTGCTACAGCTATATGACAGACTTTGGAAGGAAAGGGGGCAGAAAACACTTCTCCCAAACCATGAGCCAATGCAAATCCATTCTAAATCTTAAAAGCCACACTGTTCCATTACACCTCAGTCAAAACCAGCATCCATGGCAGTGGCCAAGAAAACACTGTCTGTAAAGGGCCAGATGGCAAATATTTGAGGTCTTGCAGGCACAGATCTGCTATAATATGCAAATTAGTAGATACAGCTGTGTTCCTATAAAACCTTATTTTAAAAAGAAGAAGCATACTAGATTCAGTCAGCAGCCCATATTGGACCAACCCTTGGTCAAAAACTTAACAAAATACCTCTTCATAAGCTGAAGAAGTAGCATGTCCCCATTTATCAGCTTCATATATATCTCGAAGATGTTATTAGCTAAAAAATATATTTCAATACAGGAAAGTCACAGGGTACTGCACCACATTCTCTAGACAAAAATCAAGTCATGTTCCAAATTCTCTACAGACTCATGGTATGATCCTGAACGAGTCACCTCTGAATCTCGATGTCATATAGAGAACATACAACTTCCTATCTATACTCCAAACTTGCTGTAATATTAAAAAAAAATAATCCAAGTATAGAACTTAAGCACATAGTCAGGCAGAGTAAAAGTTACTGGTCCTTCCTCTTGCAATATCTGGTTCTCAATGGAAAATAAACATATGACAGTATGAAAATAGGTACCCAATTTTGTTTTTCTGGCAATTTTTTAAAATGGCTGGTGGGTAAATTAAAATCCTAAAGTATCAACACAATAGCCATTGAAAAGAATTTGTAGTTAGCAAATACTGAATTATTAAGTGTAC